CATCAAAAGTAAACAATTCCACAAAACATAGGATAATATGCTGACTCTCTGTAAACCGCTTAGAGAGGCCTGAAAGGCCTATGAAGCGGTATATAAGTCTACTGCTATTGCTATTGCTGCTATTTTTCTAATTATTTTTCATATCAGACACTGAGACTCTTGTGTAAATTATAATGGCATACAATTACAATGGACCAATATTATAATAATGCCAGAAATAAATTGTACTTCTTGTTTACCTCGGGTCAACATTTGCAGTTGCTTCATCGATGATCAGTATCTTATTCTTCTTCAGGATAGCCCTGGCCAAGCACACCAGTTGTCTCTGGCCAACGCTAAAATTAGATCCAGATTCTGCCAATTGTGTTTCCAGTTTGTCAGGTAGGTCTTCTATTGCTTCTTTCAATTGGACCTATAAGCAATTCATAACAGTAATTCTAAGTTAATTTTTTGTAAGAGACCATAAAAGGGCTTTGCATTTAATTTCAAAATATCCATACCATCTTATTTTTAAAAAGTGCTTCAAAATAAGCAGATCGTAGTTTATTATGGATGTATGACATTAAGAGAGAGAGAGAGAGAGCAAGCCAGAACGCATTGATTTAAATGAGTTAACAAGGTATGGAGATATTTATACGATTAGTTGGGGTACATTACCAAATGCCTATTGTACATACTGAACTCTTCCATCAGCAGCAGCTAGCATGCTCACTAATGAGGGACCAGGGCATTTGCAACCCCAAATATTTAAAGGACATCAGATTTCTTGCTCAAGTTAATAACACTCTTGTTCAGCTCACCGTGATGTTAGAACAAGGCCACAAAGAACAAATTAATAGAACAGAAGTCTTCTGTATATCATAATACATTGGAAAGCATTGTATTCCAGAAAAATTACCTCTTCTAAAGAATTCCACAAGTCTTCATCACTATATTCATTGAAAGGATCCAAATTCTTCCTCATAGTCCCGGTAAATAAAACTGGCTCCTGAAACACAAGAAATTTCCAGACAAATTATTTTAATTAATTAACCTTGGTGTCTCTATAACAAAAGTTAAAAGTCTGTTAGCATGTTCAGGATAACTAAAAATAGAATATGGCAGCAAGGCAGGTTCAAACAGAAATGCAATAAAGTCCCAACAGCTATTTTCCCCCCCCAAGGCAAAATTGTGAGATAGATAGAAGAATATCGTAGAGGCTTTGAGAGAAAATAGAAAGAAGTCTTAATTGCTTTTCTTCCCGACAATCATTCCATAAGCAACTTTCTCTTCCCAATCATTTCCACTCCAAAGGGTCATTGCAGGTATTTGTCTTCCGTATCTGTATCTGACCTCCTTTTGGAGAAAAACAGATAAGCAGGAGGTATAGAGCTCCTATTTAGTTTAACGATGTCATTTTACAAAGTTGCTTGAAAGAAATTTTTTAACATGCAAATTCTTTCCTAATGGAAATGCAAGTTTACTGCTACCTAATTCTAATCTTCGAACACAATAATAAAATTAAGCTTTGTCACCATTTGTACTCTCTCAGCCACATTCCTTTTAATGATTGATTTTCAAGGCACAAAAGAAAAACATCAAATTCTAGTAGTGTTATGTCATAAAGAAAAAAAAACTAACTGCAGGTAGTCCTCAACTTACAACAGTTGGTTTAGTGACTGTTCAAAGTTACAACGGCACTGTAAAAAGTGAGTTATGACCGTTTTTCACACTTACGACCATTGGAGCCTCCTCATGGTCACATGATCAAAATTCAGATCTTTGGTAAGTGGTTCATATTTATGATCCTTGCAGGGTCCCATGATCATGCGATCACCTTTTGTGTCCTTCTGACAAACAAAGTCAATGGAGAATCCAGATTCTCTTAATAACCATATTACTAATTTAATAAATGCCATGGTTCACAACAACTGTGAAAGAAAAGTCATAAAATGGGGCAAAGCTCACTTAACAAATGTTTCACTTAGCAACATATATTTTGGGCTCAATTGTGATCGTAACTCGAGGAACACCTTATTGTACAGTATTTTACTGTATAATACAGGTAGTCCTCAACTTAAAAACTCAACTGAGCCCAACATTTATGTTACCAAGTGAGACATTTGTTAAGTGAGTTTTGCTCCATTTTACGACTTTTCTTGTCACATTTGTCACATGAATCACTTCAGTCATTAAATTAGTAATCCGGTTGTTAAGTGAATCTGGTTTTCCCATTGACTTTGCTTATCAGAAGTTTGCAAAAAGCGTTCCCCAGGACACTGCAACCATCATAAATGTGAGTCAATTGTCAAGCATCTGGGGATGCAGTTGTAACTTCAAAGGGTCACTAAGTGAACTTTTGTGAGTCAAGGGCTGCCTGTATTTTATCTCCTTATTACAGATTCCTGATAAAACAGCTCGCAACAGCTAGGGATCCTGAGGTGCATAGGACAACATCAGGTTGGAGAATGATGATATATCACACATTCCACAATGTGGATTTTGCTTATTGTAGATCCTTCCCAGGTGGAAGGAGAAAAAAATCTTCAGCCTCAATTCATCACTATTGATGGAGATGTCTAGCTTCATTCAATGGTGAAACTAAAATAAAATGTAGATTGACTGGAGTTGGTGGCTCCACTTCAGCTAAAGCAGTGATTCTCAACCTTCCCAATGCCGTGACCCTTTAATACAGTTTCTCGTGGTGTGGTGACCCCCAACCATAAAACTGGTGTCTCGGTTCCTAAGACCATCGAAAATATGTGTTTTCTGATGGTCTTAGGCGACCCCTGTGAAAGGGTCGTTCGACCCCCTAAAGGGGTCCCAACCCACAGGTTGAGAACCACTGAGCTAAAGTAAACACTGTTGCAACTAGAGTGATTGCTAGGTTAGTGAGAACAGGAATAAGTGTGCTACTGTTTAATGCAATGCATATGCATTGCAACTCATAAAGTGCTCACGGGTTGTCAAAATGCTTAGGCCACGCCCACTCCACCTCCACAAAGGCAAAAAACATTGTGATATGTCACACTATGTCACGTGACACAATCGAGTTTGACATCCATGCTTTAATAGGCTTGACATACCTAGATCCCTCGATTCATCATACAATTTAGCCTCCAGGCCCTTGATCGTCTTTGTTGTTCTTTTTGTTGTTCTCTGTTTTCAGAGTCTCAACATCTTTTTTGTATCGTGGTGATCAGAACTGGATGCAGAATACCAACTGATGTCTTATCAGCCCGGTGTAGAGCAGTACTATCACTTCTCATTATTTTGACACTATCTCTCTATTGATATATCCTATGACTGCATTGGCTTTTTTGACAGTTGCACCACATTACTGAATCATATTTCAGTGGTGGCCCTTTTAGATTGGGAGAGGTATCTAAGTGTCACTAGGGACACTTAGATACCTCTCCCAGTTACTACTATTGACCCAGACATCACCTATTCTATACCCATGTATTTGGTTTTGCCTGCCTAAGTGCAGGACCTTATTTTTCTCACCACTGAACTACATCTTGTTGGATAGGGCCCATTGCTCAAGTCTTTGTCCTAAAGCAGGGGTGACAAACCCAAGACCCGGGGGCCGGATATGGCCCTTGGGGTGCTTTCATCTGGCTTTCAGGACCGCCTTGGGAACAGCAAAGGACCAGCCCATGGTTCCTCTGCCAGTGAAAAGGGAGCTCTGGAGAGCCGCAGATAACCGTCTGAAACTCCATTTTCTCTGGCAGATGGTTAAAGGAGGCTATCGCAGTCGAAAATGGCTCTCTGGAGCCCACTTTCACTGGCGGAGCACTCAGGCCATCACAAGTGCTTCTGACACAAGTGATGGCTGGCCACGCCCACCTCAGCCCCCTGAGGTAAAACACAACCCTGAGGCAGCCCTCGATGAAATTGAATTTGACACCCCTGTTTTAAAGAATTGGCTTGAATTAGAGTTATCTTATTATGATTTAATAAGAAGTAATATAGAATTAAATAATTATTATATTATTAATAATAGAAATATTTCAGATCAGCTACTTTTTTTGCCATTTCAGCCACTCTCTGTATCCACCTCCTCCTATGAGAAGTTAAATTTACATCTCTAAATCTCAGAGTTCATGCATAGGTGAGGATATTGTGCATCAAACACATGGCATCTGCAGACTGGTCACATCTTAGTTGAAAATGCTATTTCACTAGGAGCACTAGTGAAGGCATATTTATGACTTGTTTAACCAAAAGATAGACCTTTTTGATGTTTCTCACACATTACAATAATATCCCAGTCTTAAAATTCAATCAAATGTAATGCCAGCTCCCCTCCCAAAATAAACAGAACGGGGCAGGAATGGAGAGGAGAGACTGCCTGGAATAAATGCTTAAAAACCACTTACAATAATCAGCAGTAATAATTATAACAACACATTTGTAAAATTAAGCCCAAAAGGTTAAACTATGTACTTCCAAACTGCAATTTGCCCCATAGGTGACTACTATACTTTTGAAATGACTTCAGTTTCTTCTGACAGGCTCTCTTAAAGATACACATTGCAGCTTAGCATAATAGTTCAACGTAGCCTAAAGGTATTCAACTGTCCCAAGTGTCTTTAATCGTTTTCATAAGAAGCATATACACAGGTAAAGAAAGAGCGTACTGCAATGATTAACTGCCAACAGATTACAACCCATGAAGCTATTTTTATTTTAATGGGGTAGTAAAGTATGCCAAGTTGCAAAGCTCTTTCGATAAAATATTTTCAATGCATTTCTGCCAAGTTATAAGGTCCGTAAAATCATCACAGTCAGAAGAAATGTGCAGTATAATATGGTTTTGTATTCCCCTTTAAAATACAAGACAATGAAATAGATTTTTCATTTCAAAAATGGCAATTCCTGCCATATAATTTTAATTACAAAAGCTTTTGATCAAATGGGCTCAAGAAAGCATTAAAATGCTGATCTTTTTAATATAAAAAAATCTTATTTAAAAAAAATCTATCAATGGTATTAGATGTACATTTCAGATATTGTGGAGATGAACTTCCATTTCAATTCTTTAATAGTTTAGCAAAATGGAAAATTTCAATTCATAAATTATAAATTCTTTATAATGGCTGTAATATAGTAGGAGCACATGAGTATTGCAGAAGACGATAAGGATAGTTTTAATTTCAATTCCTGACAAACAGTTATATAAAGATTGCCTGTTTCATAAGAGGAAACCCATAAGCTAAACCTATAAAAAATGATAAATTACAGTCAGAGAAATAGATATTTTTGCATCAAAGGACCAATGTTAACTAATAAAAGTTTCATGAAGTAGCATTTAAAGCAGTGTTCCTCAACCTTTCCAGCTTGGTGGCCCAGAAAAGTTGAGGGGGGTGGGGGAGAAGGGATGTTTTGTGTGAGGAGCAGATGCATGCATAGCTCCTGCAAGTGGGGCTGCAAGCACCAGCCCCCGCCACTCACACAAGTTGGGCTCTGCGCATGCGCACCGACCTGCTACTCACACTGCCTGGTTGCAAATAGGTCATGGCCCCCTAGTGAAGTTTTTCGTGCAAACAGGCCTGTTTTTGTCAAAAAAAAGGGCATGCATAAACTTTAGGAGGCTTATAGAATGCTCCTGGGGGCTGAGGGGGGTCAAAATTGAGCAACAAATGGCCAATTCTTTGCTCATTTCTGCCCTCCACGGCCCCCAGGAGCACTCTGAAAGCCTCCTAAAGGCTATGCATGGCCATTTTGGTGAAGGGGGCAGGGTATCAGGAGGCAAGAAATGCTGCATTCACTGTATGACACACCCAGATTTTCAGCCTCTTTTTTGAGGAAAAAAGGTACGTCTTATACTCCAAAAAATACGGTACTACAATTTGTGATACACGGGACTACCTTTAAATGCCACTTGGTTGGTTCAGAATGCAACAGTTCATATGTTACCTGTCACACGTTATCTGAGCTACATTGCTGTGGAGTTGTCAATCCTGCACTGGCTTCCAATAGGATTCTAGGAGCAAGTGATACTCT